AAATTAAATTTCCACAAAATTTAACAAGGCTCAACCAAATTTTGAAATTTTGCATTCCGTACAGAAAGGGCAATAAAAATATGTTAAAATCAAAATCGCTCAGGAATGTCCGCTTTTTTTTTTTGTATATACCCATATTCCATATTAAATATATTGGAAGAGAAATACAAGTTTTTTAAATGGCTCATACAGTTCCGAAATCAAGATGATCTGTGAAAAGCCAGAAAATAAATAATTGTGATTCCTAGTTTCCTGATTGCCCCTAAAAACACAGAAATTTATATTCTTTCACATAGAACAAACGAAAAAACGGAACAAAACAAACATTGGAAATTTTTTTTAACTTGAAACATGTACATAAAATACGTTTAGAAAACACAGATGAAAAACAGAACAAACAGTTTTTTTAACCAAACATAAAGTAAGGCTAAAACGGAGACAAACATAGAACCAATTTTTGAGGAATATCAGCGCGGAAAAGCCCCTAACCAAAATATCCTTTCCAAAATGTACATTTTCACACAAACACAACGTACACACTTTTTGATACGCTAAGGTCAAGTTAAAGAATACGATATCTACACACTTATATATATAATAGTTATATATAACGTAAACAAATAGCAGGACATCGGAAACCTAAAAGAAAGCTTCAAAAGTTGTAAACAATTTTTTTCGGTATAAGCTCAAGACACGTACACACAGAAAGAGGAACTCACACATATACAGAGAGGCGAAGAAGCGGAAAATTTAGGCTGAACCAGCGAGGAAAATTGTTAGTACTAGCTTATGGGGCTTATTTTATATTTGTCGAGATCAGGAGAAGCTAAACAATTTTTTGGAAATTAGCGAGGAAAAAAACACAAGAGAAAACAAAAAAGAAAACGTCAGAAAGGTAAAGAGGAAAGAGAGAAAAAACAACACTGTAGTGCCTACTCCCCTTTAAAACAAAACAAAAAAAAAATCGAATAAAAATAAAATAAAAATCGAAAACCAAAAAAAAAAATATATATATACAATACATATATACATTATACATACTAAAGTAATATTTTATAAAAATGCGCAGAGCAAAAACCTAAAAAAAAAGACAAAAAAAACAAAACAACAAGGAAGTCAAAAATGGAAATTGCAGTTTTTTTGATAGTTATTTTTTTAGCGAGCAATGAAAGGCATTGAGATCTATATATACATATATATAACTAAATATACATACACACCTATACATTAGTATATCTCCCACACAGACAACCACACCTACATTTATACAAAAAGTACTTATGGCATGTAAAAAAGAAATTAGATTCTAACGAAGACGGAAAAAAAAGAAAAACTATTAGAAAACTGCAAGCAAATTTGCGAATTTTAGGCAGTTAGCTATACTACACTCTCCCACACACACACACACACACACACACACAAATTCACACACGCAACCAAATCGAGAAACAAAGTAGAAACAACAACAGAGTAGTTTTGCATATCCCAAGAAAAAGAGAGAAATTGTTTGGAATGGTAAGAAATGGTGAGAAATGGAAGAAAAAGCCACATACAAAACACAGACACACAAGAAACCAATTTATCAAAAAATTGTACTAGTTTTTAGTAATGAAAGAGAATAATACTATTTTCACAAAAGGAAAACACCACAAACAATGTAAGCATATTTAATAAATTTAAAACCCTAAAAGAAAAAGCATATTTTCGACATAAGCGAAATGAAAGAAATACATTTTTAACCTTCCTCCATAATTTTTCAAGAATATGGAAAAGCAGATTAACCATTTCCAGAATAGTTGTTTTCGTTTTAATTGATCTTGAATTGAGAATTCAAGCCAAGCATCCAAAATATTTATATAAAATATAAAGCAAAATAGCAGCACACACGATGAAGGACTGTTGAAAAATGGGTAGCAAAATAATAGGTTTAGTAAACGACGGTTGAGAAAATTTTTGTAAGTTCCCTATTGAGGCTCATTCATAAATAATTTTACAAATATTTTTTAACACTTATTATTTGTTTGTTTGTAGATTTTTTTTTTTTAATATTTTCTCTTAAGTTATTGAACCTAAATCAATAAATGCTAGGGAAAACAGCTCGATTTCAAGGCATTCCAAAGGGGATTATACCCAAAAAAAAAAATCTGGGATTAATATGGGCTGTTTTCCTTAATGCAAAGGAACTGCCTAATAAGAGGGTTAATAAACAGTGTAAGGCGGTTAAAAAACCACACAAAAAATATGAAATTCACAACATACCGAAATCCGAAGAAAAGTTTAAACAATAAACAATAACCGAATTAAGAGGATGAACAAATAGCTGCAATACGTTATGATTACGTCAATATGTTCCTACAATATAGACATACAAGATACATAAATAATTTATATAAATATATATTCTTAACTAACTGTAAACACACCACACAGAAAACCGACAAAAAAAGAGAATGCGATGGAAGAATTATACAATAATTAATTTAAGGCCAAGGCCGAAAAATTCACTAAGAGCAGCAGCGACTAACTAACTAAAACTAAATCTTAAATAATCACCCGCTTAAGTTTTATTAAACATTTTTCATTACCCTTAATCCTAAGTTAAGCAATTTCCCATTATTTATTGAGCCAGCGTAAACTTAAAATGACTCTAAAATAATGCAAATTATATATATATACACATATATAGAACTATAAACTGCAATTTAAGTTCCAATCGATACAATTTAGTTTTCATTTATTTTTTTTATAATTCGAAATAAGATTTTGATATTTTGTGGCTTATAAAAAGCAAATGGATGAAACCAACAAAAGCGAAATAAAAATATATAAAAACCATTTCACTCTCATGTACATTCCTTATCGTTTTACACACACACACACACCTAGCACCCATACCAACACACAGGAGCTGGAACTATATATACAGTTCCATATAGTACTTTGTACTCTGTATGCAAGAGAGCTTGATGGGAACTCAACAGATATATATGGAAAATACCCAAAAAAAAAAACCAAAACAAATAACTATTACTAAAGCAAAAAACAAAACGGAAGGTTAAAAATAAACGCTAACTATATATTTTTTTCGTAGTCGAAATGAGAACTAAAAAACCAAAAGCACTGAGCAAGAATAATTACTTACAAGAACTCTCCACTCAATTTTCGACTCGACTCATTTTTCGAGTTGATCCAATGCTGAATAATAACTAAAAAACTCGAGAACTAAAAACTAAAGAGAGCGCTTATCAGGCACCAAACAAAATGTAAGCAAGTAATGAAAAAAAGCAAATAGAATCAATCAAGAAAAAAAATATTTTAGAAGGAAATGGAATTCAATTACTTACACACAGTCAAACCAAAAAACATATTTTAGGCAAACCAAAACCAAAAATTAAAAAAAAAACAAACACCACACTTACAACCAGAACAACAAATTTATATGAAAATTATAACAGGCATAAATGAAGAAGGAAACAAAATAAGAAAAATATTTAAGCAAAGCAAAGCATATCATAGTTTATAACAAAAAACCAAAACAAAAACAAATATGAAGAATGCTAACAAAAGCCAGGCAAAGAAGATTCTAAAAGTTTCCAGAGAACAGCCTCCAATGCAGATTTGATTTCTATCCGCAAATCCCGAACCCAAAATTTTCCCTAAAATCCCCAAAAGAATGACAACAAGAAATATGAAAGGCTAACGAGAGGGAATCAAGACAGCAAGCTAAAACTAGAATGAAAAACAAAAGAAAATGGAAATGAAAATGAAAATAAATAAATGCAGAAAAAGAAAACCTATAGGATCAGCAGAAGGATCAGTCATATATAGCTAGCTATATAGTCTGTAGTCTATGCCTAACAACATTTTATTAGTCGAGCGAATGAAAAGATAAAAAAATATAAAGAACTTAAGAACTTGTTCACACACGCGACACTCACACACTCTAACACACAAATACAAGCAGAGAAAAGAATAAAAACAAAGAATGGAAGATGCAGCGGGAGAAGCTAAAAAATGGAAAACAAAACAAAAAAGAGATAAAGAAAATGAAATAAAATTCTATATAAATAAAAATAATGAAAAATATTTGCCACATCTCGAGTTTTTATTGAAGAACGTGGCCCAGCCATGGATGAATTTACATATATAATAAATAGAAGTGGCATTTTAATAAATTTTATTATTACTATTATATATATATATAGTATATATATATATGTACATATATAGTTATATATATATAAAATATATTTATTTATACTTGAATTTGATTTGTGAAATTTAAAGTTACAGAATTGGCTTAAAAAGTTGCTTTCAATGGAACTTTATTAAACACGACTTAAACATATTTATTTCCATTTCAAATTGAACTTTAATCAAATATTTTTGAACTTTTTTAAAAGTGAAAAAAAAAATTTAAAAATTCTTTTTTTAAAGAATACTTGTTGATTGTACGTCTTAAGAATTCTATCTTAGTCCTAAGTAATCTTTCGTCCCCCAAATGTACTCATGACCGAAAATAAACAGCAGTCACGTAAGTATATTTTTTATCCATTACTCCTGCAGCTTCTTCCCCATTTTTCTCTATCGACTTTTCGTTTCGACTTTTCCGTACTTTCATTTGCCATATTTGCCAGATAGTTTGTCCATATATCTAGATATCTTTTCGTGTGAGCTTTTAAGTGTTTGCTTGCCTTGTATTCAGTTGCCTTGCATGAGTTGGAAATGTAGCCCAGCCCGACCCCGTCCAGGATATAGATTTCTAATCCCGAGACTAGAGGAACTTACACCCAGCAGTTTAGCAGCCCCTCCCTCCTCACTTCAGTTTTAGAACTAAGAAGTATTTATTTAAGCCCCGACCTCTGACCCAAAAAAAAAAAAAAGATGAAAAAATAAAAAATAAAAACAATAAGCAGAACAGAACGAGGCACTGCGCACCAAATATCTCGATTGTAGTACCGCCAGAACCCGACTGAATATCTCAATTTCTGATCCCACAGCTGCTCCGCAACTTCAGCTCCCCGATGAGCGCGATGGCCGCCAGTCGCTGCCCAACCCCCTTCGCCTTCCCCTTCTCGCCCCTCGGCCTGAGCCTCTTCGACATCGATCCGTCCAGAATTCTCAGCCTGCTGCACCACCAGACCTGGCTGGCAGAAGAGGCTCTCAGGTGAGTGAACCCATTGCAAATAATCTCGGTAGTGCAAAAATAAAAAATTGCTATATATTTTGAAAAAAAGACTATAATTTAACCATTTTGAAATCTGAATTTAATTGCCCAAAGTGGGAGATAACCTTGGTAGTACAAAAAATGGGTTCTCAAAAAATATATATATAAATATTTACAAAATTGACCCACGATTAAATTAAAGTTAATTTAACAACAATAGTTTACTTCTGTAAAATCTCGATCCAATTGGTTAACATATGGTCTCTAGAAATTTTGGGTAACCATTTATATAAATTAAAGTTAAAGATCAAACTTTTTGAAGTATAAAAGTATAAACGTGCTTAGGAAAGGAAAATAGACTGTGATGCATTAAAATAGGAGTTGGAGTTTCGAAATAAAATATTAACGATTTGCTTTACGCGCAGGACACGCGGTCTTTTAGCGGCGCCCAAGGACTTTCCGCACCGCTTCACGACCCTCAGCGACCTGCTGACCAAGGACTACCAGCCGGGTCAGCCGACGGCCACGGCAACGGCCACGGCGACCACCGCCTCCTCATCCTCCTCATCCCTGTCCTCATCCTCGACCAGCCAGAATAGTGCCGGCCGATCCGGCGATACGCAGTACAAACACACACAGCAACAACAACCGCAGCAACCTCAGTCGGCAGCCACGGCAACGGCGACCTTTAACCTGCGCTACCCCACGGCCACGCCCACTGCTTTCTACCAGCAGCAGGGAAAGGGTCCCAAATCCTCGCCATCGCCCCAACAGATGGCCACCAGCTCCACCACCACTCACTGGTAAAAAAAAACGTCATAGTTTATACATCCAAGTACTTCATAGTCAATTTAAATTTAATTCGAAATATGGAAAGTCTTTATATTTGTTGTTCTTTGATTTCTATATTTTTGAAATTTTTATTTTATTATCTGAAAATTTAATTTAAATTCAAACCATAAAAAACTTAATAGTAATGAAAATTCATTGCAATTTTTTGTTATTTTAACTATTTTGAGAATAGTTTTAAATATCTCACAATTTTATTTAATGTATTTAAAACTATTTTAAATCTAATATTTTTCCACAATAATTCAAATATTATATTTTAGTACATTAATAAATATTATTTAAATTTCAAACAATATTAAACTTAAAAATTATGCATTTTACATTATTTCAAATATTGTTGTATTAAATCAGCAATTTAATATGCATTGTACTATTGCATTATTATTTTGTATTTAATTTGAATATGAAATTTACAATTTTCAATTCAATCGCCAAATATTTATTTTTACTAATGAATTTTTTTTAACAGTGCGGCCATGTCCAACGATTCCGGCGAGGAGGGTAGCTGCAAACGCAGTTCGGCGGACAGCGACGAGGTCACCATTGTGGAGCTCCCCAGCGAACGTAGTGCCCAGCTGTACAAGGAATCGCTGGAGCAGCTCCTCCAGCGCCAGCGTCGCACCCCAATCTCTGGGATCTCGGGCTCGGGATCTGGATCTGGATCGGGATCGGGAAGTGTTATTGTTGATGCCGCCGGCCTGAGGCAGTACACCCAATTGCTGTTGGCCGGAGCAGCCGGTGGCAGTGGCAGTTCGGACCTCAAGGAGAAGAGCTCCTCGTCGTCGACCTCGTCCACACCGCCACTGTTGACCCAGCAGCTCAGCCAGATGCTGAAGAGTCCCTCGGACACCTGCTCCTCGCTGTTCAGCTCGTCGGGAGGTGGCAACTCCGGCTCGGGGATGCCGGGAGTGCAACTTGGAGTCACCGTGGGCGAGACCATCGAGGAGGAGACCCGCTGTGTGGTCTGCAATGCCCACTTCCCCAATGTCTGGCTGCTCGAGCAGCATGCCGCCCTCCAGCATCCCCATGTGGGTCCCGGCGAGGAGAAGCCCTTCATCTGCGAGCAGTGCGGTCAGTCGTACCGCTATCGCAGTGCCTATGCCAAGCACAAGGAGCAGAACCATCGCGCTCGTCTGCCCGCCGACAAGCTCTTCACCTGCGACGTCTGCGGCATGCAGTTCCGCTACCTGAAGAGCTTCAAGAAGCACCGCCTCAACCATGCCCTCGAGCGACTCCATGGCAAGAAGAGTGTGGGCGTCGGTGTGGGCGTTGGCGTGGGAGTGGGTGTGGGAGTGGGCGTGGTCGGGCGTCTAGGCAACAGCGGATCCTCCGCATCGGTGGCGGCTCCCACCTCCTTATCCGCCTCGGGTTCGGTGACCTCTGTGGACCAGGACGTGGTCACCAGCTCGCAGGAGCCCATGTTGGCCGACGAGGGCGAGGATCTGCGGGTTAATGTGAAGAGGGAGAGGGGTGCCTCCGACGAGCACACCGCCGAATCTCGGGCCAACGACAGCGAGGAGCACGAGCAGGACAACACCGTCGACTCGGCGGGCATCACGATGCTCTACCAGGACAACAACTCCTCGGCATCGGCCTCCACCAGCGCCACCGAGCCGACCATCAGCAGCTCCGACGGCATTCATAGTACAAACAAGCGGGTGAGTAGAAGGCTTCTAAATCAAGTCCTTGGGGTTCTAAATACAGTTTTAGGTTTTTTTTTATTTAGTTAAATATATAAACAAAATCTTAGAACAATGATATATGACACAATAAGAATAAAAAGAAAATGTAAATTTTCTATAATGACTTAAGGTACTTTGTTTTTATAGTGACTAAAGAAATTATTTGTTTTAAAAAAATAAAATAAAAATAAAAATAACTCGTAAAAATGCACTATTGCTGGAAACATAATTACAAATAATTAATTTATACCCATTTAAGGAGCAGCCATATTAAAATTGAATATTACCATTTCTTGCAGTCGCGTCTGCACCACTTGGAAACGGATCCCTCCTACTCGCACCACCACCACCATCATCATCATCACCAGCACCACAATGCAACCCACCTGGGTCACGTTTCACTGCCACTGGTGGCCAGCTCGGCTGCCGGTTCCTCATCCTCGGCGGCTGCTGCTGCCGCTGTGGCCGCGGCCACCGCTGCCGTCGCCCAGGCGCAGGTTAATTCCGGCGGAACCGGAAGTGGCGCCACCGGAAGCGGTGCGGCCGGAAGCGGCGGCGGTGCAGCTGGTGGCGGAGCAGCCGCAAGCGGCGGTGGCATCAGTTCGCTCAGCTCGCTGACCTCGCTGATCAACGCCGAACGCATTCCGAACGAGCAGTTCCTGGGACTGAATCCGCAGGAGGCCTCCATACTCAACTTCTTACGCGTCGATGCCGCCGAACGACAGCGGGACAAGCGGTAAGTCCTGTTTTCTATCGTTGAGTGACTCAACGGAGGTGTAGGATAAGAGTTCGTGAACCCACTCTGCGAATGCGTAATTTTATTTCAATGTTTTCTATATTTCCTTAATGTGCGGATGAAGCGAAATGATTCTTATGTACTGATAAATGCTTACATCAAAATCACTAATAGTTTTTCTTATTTAAAAATAAAATAAAAGAGGTAAATTTTGTAAAATGGGCTACAAAACGAATGGCCCATGCTGCGAATGAGTAAAATTTTTTTAATATTCGAAATATTTCAATGAAACAAGATACGCCCTCAGTTAAAATCATAGCTAGAAATAAATAAAATTAAAATATAATATCACTAAATTAAATAAACTTTACCAGACTCTGAGGTAAATTAATTAAAGAACTTATATGTTTTTTAATATCTCGATTAAACAATAAATGTGTTTATAGGTAAAAAAAATAAAAAACTTTACCTTATGTAAAAATGTGATAGGCTCATTCAGCGAACAAAAGACTTTTGTTTAATAATTAAAATTCATTTAAAATTAATTGTGCTGGTTTATTCCGATTTCAGACCGGCCACCTCGCGATTCGCGTGCCCCTTCTGCGGCAAGTGCGTGCGCTCCAAGGAGAACCTCAAGCTGCACGTGCGCAAACACACCGGCGAAAGGCCATTCGTGTGCCTCTTCTGCGGCAGGGCCTTCGGGGGCAAGTCCGACCTCACCCGCCACCTGAGGATCCACACCGGCGAGCGTCCCTACCACTGCGAGTCCTGCGGCAAATGCTTCGCGCGGGCCGACTATTTGTCGAAGCACCTGACCACCCACATCCACAATGCGCCGCGCTGAGATGAGGCGCGTAGGAGGCGGCTCCTACGCAGATAAGGAACCAGCTCCAGGATCAGCCTCTGAAAACCGCAACACACACACACCATACTGAATACAGAATACAGGAAGCGTATAATGAAGCCTATGTATAAATCTTATTATTACCAGAAAAGCTCTACGATTAGATCGATGTAAACATTTTGTCGCTAAAGATGTGTTTTTTTTTTTTTTTTTTTTTTTTGTGGTTGCAAGCTAGAGTAAAACAAAATTTGTGGGCAACTATTTAGCACGGGTATTAAAGTGTTTAAGAATTCTGAATATACACCTATCTCTCTAGATATAAATATGTGTGAGTAAGGATTACGATTATAATTATCGTAGGCACAAGATTACGTTTTTCTACAACTACGATTAAGTGCAGATGGGAAGGAAATGCGATTTGGTTCTGTGAAACAACTTATTTCTCTAACACATTAACGAAACAGCCAGAAAACTTTGCAATAGCAATAAACAAAATAGTCTGTATTTTCTACCGAAACAAACGAGGGGGATACATACATATAAGTATGTACCACACACACACACACACACACACACTTTGTACCGCAGATCTGCCGTTGATATACACAATAGATAAAATAGATATAATTTTACACCGATCTATAGAAGCTAAACTAGCAACAATTTGTACAAAAAAGAAACAAGCAAAACAAAACAAACAACAAACGAGAGGAAACTAACTTTGCAAGAATCAATGCAATAACTGAAAAAAACTCTGTTACCTACCACAGAAAACAATAAGCTAATTGGGTTTTTAGTTGATTTTAGTACAGAAACTGTACTGAAACTAAGCCAACCACTAAATTTAAAACAAAATGTTTAAAACGCTACAAGCATTATTTATTCTTCGGTTGACCGATCTACAGATATATGTTCAAAGGAAGTCAAAGTTGGTTTATAGGATTATAGAACTGTAAAGCTAGGAGATACTAATGGGATCTACCACCGTCAATAGTTTAATTTATATACAAAACAAAGCAAAGCAAAGCAAAGCAAGGCAAATCAAAACTAAAAACAAACATAGGAACAATTAACAATTACCAATAGCAATTACAATTAAAACTGCAACTACAACAACACAAAACTAACTGTGATCACAACAAGAAAACAACATTGAAGTTTTAACTAACCTACAAACAAGCTGAACAAGCAAGAATAGTTTATAGCCATGGCAACCATGGCAAACAATAGAGAAATTGGGCGGTGCTGGCAACTCTGGTGCGCGCACCGTCCGTCCGCTGGAAACGAAATGTGCAATTAAACAATAAAAACAATAAAATAGGGACAAACCCATAGGTCAGAAATGATTTCTCAACAGATATCTGCTTCATTTAACTATGTTCAACAAACACAGTAGAAAGGGGAAAACAAAAGGAAAAATGAAAAAGCAAAAAAAGCAAACAAGCAAAAATCTTGAACCAAGAACATCGAATTAAAGTGTAAATGAAAATCCAAAAACCGAAAAAAAAACTTTAATACATAGAAGAAGAAGATGAAGAATGGGGAAGGGATGGGATGAACAGTTTTTTGTATTAACTAAATGTCTAACGCACTAAGAAGAATATTTGCAGTACCAAAAAAGTGGAAAGTAAAACTAAAAAAAAAAAAACGAGAACAAATCAAAGTAAAGTGGTAGAAGTAAAGTAAATGAAAACTTTCACTGTGCCAAAAAGTTTCAAGTACCTCATAATTTAACTAAATATTAACGAGAAGCAACTAACCACACCGAAAACAGCCCACACAATCCACACGCAGTCCACACACACGATCCACAAACCCCACAAATATCCCGCAACGAAATGAGTCTAGACAGGAAATGTCAAAGCGTATAATTACATAGAAGCTGAAAGCTGAAAGCGAAGCGTTAACTAATCCTAATTTACCAACCGGAGAGGGCTAGAAAATAGTTAGATAGATAGAGATAGAGCTAGAAATATAGGGACAGAGATAGAGATAGAGACAGAGAGAGATGGCGATAGCGAGAGAGAAAGAGAAAGAGGGAGTCAGCGCATGGGTAGATCTACCATCCACCGCGGATCCACGTATATATATTTATATATATATACATACACTGTGTGATCCGATCCCCGATTTTCGATTATTTTTTTGTAATTTATTTATTCTTCAACAACACAGTTCTGCCTACATTTTATCTCCAAACTTAAGTGTTCAATTGTAGCGAATATATATTTGCCTTGAAATATATATATATATATACAAGCATATGTTATGTGATAGTTTAACAAATTTACTGCACCCCTTTTAAAGCCAACATATTTTGCCTAACAACACTATGTTAATTGTAAAGAAAAGACAACAAATTATTATTTTCTTGATACGTAAGTTTTTCAATTTCAATTGTGTCAGTATGTGAACCGTCAAAGATCAGGGCCTCTAGCAAATGTTATAGTTTTAGTTCATTATTATTATTATTTTTATGATTATTAATCTGATGTGAATTTTTGAATGCAACTTTTTGTAGTTTTAGTTTCTTTCGGTTCTCGATATCTCTTTTTTTAATTTCTATTTATATTCTAACAACATGCTACTGCAACAACAAACAAAAATCAACACTGCCTTTTGTAAACACACAAAAACCAGCAAATGTATAATGCAAAATTTGTAATCGTACTATTTTAAGTTACTCTTTTTTTTACCATACCTATTAATTTTTGTATGTAAACATCACAAATGCCGAAATCTTTTGAGAAACTCTGTTTGATTTTTATTTTCCAAGCTCTAAATTAAGTTTTTAAGCACAACAACAACAACAAGCTGTGAGCTGTGTATGTGAATTAATTATTTGTATAATTATTATTACAGTTATTACACTCGTAATTATTATCAATTTTTTTGGACACACTTTTTATTTTGGAATTATTATTTGATAGTATTTATTAATAAAGTTTTTTGCAATGAACACTCCTTTGTTTGACCATCTCGGGCACATCCGTCGATCTGAAACCATCCGTCGAATTTCACCCCTTGGTTAACCCATTATTTCCTATGTTCATAGTTGAAAATGCGCCTTAAAAGAATTTTAGGAAACTAAGGTAAGAAAAGTGGAGAAGCAAAACAAAATGTGTCATTAATACTCCATTTCGGTAAGATACAACAAGTTTAAAGTAATTAAGGAACCCAAAAAGGAAAGCAATATTAACAAAATTAAAGAAAACCTAAAATTAAAGTAATTTTTTCTTAGGTGTGTGTGCAAGTAAATGTTGATACAAAATACAAAAAAAATACTATAAAAACCATTAAAATACAGAATAATCACCATCAAAATTAAGGCAACATTAAATTGAATAGGAGTACTGGAATTTTTTTGTGAATGTGCTGAGCGGGGAGGAGAAAAATTGATTTTAAGCCAAACATTGGAGGGATTCAAGACTCTTATTTCGTATATACATACATATACCTATATTACAAATTTACCACGTAGGCAGTTTTTTTAAGGCATTGACAACATGCAGGAAAATACGTGTAACAGAAAATTACATTACAAAATCCAACAACGAAAACTTTTGGCATTAACAATTAATGCATTTTTAAATACAATATTTATTGATATACCTAGATTTAAAGCCCAGCAACAACAACCAGGCGGAAGCGAAAGTAAAATCCAAAAATGGTGGAAATGGAGAAAAAAAAACAAAGGAATCCAAATATTATACATAGAATATATCTATATACAGATACATAAATGTACACGTGGTTTTCGGTGTCTATTACTTATATAAATAGATATATATACATTATATACATACATCATATTATACACATGACGTGCATATTTTGAAACAAAAACAAGAACCCCAAAAGCCCAAAAAAAGAAATATAAATGTTGTTCATTTGACTAATACGCGGAAGCAACTCAACCAAACAAAAATATATACTAGCATATATAAAAACTAATGGTATTCCACTCCCACACGTACACTCTCCACCAGGGACACCCAATTTATGGACATTTGCATTTTGAATTGAATATTCACCAAACTAACAAGTTTTCATATTTTCGTAAATAAATTTGATTACTCAGAGTTCATAGATTGTATACTTAGATTTGTCTTGTCGATATTCTTAGCAAAATTAAATCAAAAACTCCGATTCTTTCAAGCTTTATTATCAATCTATTTCCCCTTTATCAGTCACTTAAGCTTGGGTGTCCCCGAATCATTTAGCAAATACATGAAAGTTTTAAAGTAATACTACAATTTAACAAAATAAAACTACGATTTCATGAAATTAAGACAATTTCGAGGTTTCACTTGCAAAAAAAGAAAAATGCATAACAATATAACAATGTTCTATATTGTAGTCAAAATCATTTTAATCAGTTTTGGTTACACATTGATTTAGTGTTGAGCAAAGTTAAAACAAAAGTAAAACAATTTTAACTTGTCTAAAACCAAATAAATTGTTAACAGCAACTAACTCATGTATATAAATACATTAAATGGATACCATCTCAAAAACCAACAAAATATACAAAAAAAAAAAGACGAATGCGAAAAAGAAAACGAATATGGAAATGGAAAACAAAAGCAGAAGCAGAAGCATAATAAACATAAAATGTAGTACATGCAATATATTTTTCGGTGTTAGGCGTCTTTTTGAGATTTTTACAGAATACCAAACAAAAGTCCCTCAAACAAAATCTATAAAGTAAAATATTTCATTGTTGATGTTGTGAGCAAAACTAAAGTAAACTAAACAAACTAAAGTAAATTGTATTTATTTCTCCTACTCTCTCAACAGTCTCTCTCACCTAAGCTCTAAAATTTAGCTGTCGTGTCTCTTTAAATATTTATAGGGGTTTACATAAGTCTTAGGAGACGCGGAAACAAAAGAAAATGTTTCAAACATTTTTTTTTTTATATACATAAACAAGAAATTCGGTGTCTAAAAAATTTACGAAATTTAAGAAGCAACTAAGGAAAACATTTTTAGATCAAATTCGAGTGGTTAAACGAATAGATGAGAGTGGAGATGAAAAGCTAGAGTGGCACTTCAAAAATGGGAGGAAATACTTAGCAATAATTCTGAAATGACCTCAATCAAATATTTTTTAAATTTTATATATTTTAGTCGTGCAAAAAAAAAACCAAACTGTGTAAATAAATCTTTAAATACATACAAATCGAAATAGCAAAATAAACAAAATGTAAAACAAAAACACATAAAAAAATGTCTCTCGAACGAACGAAGAAAGAATGTGATATTTTTCTAAGGTGTACTACAAAACAAAATGAAGAAAACAAATGGGAAAACAAAATCAAAATGCAAAAATTCTAATAAAATATTTAACACTTTTACTGAGAACCAGAAATAGAGCAAGCCCACATTAAATAGAACAAATTGCAATAGAGACTGATTTTTGACATCATCTCATCGACATCACCACCTATAAAAGCAGGAGCATTGTCATTAGATCAGTGAGTGAAGAACTTTCACTGCAATTACATTATTAAAAGAAAATACTGGACAAAATGGGTGGGTTAGATTCGGAAACTTACTAAGCGTGATTTGGAATCTCTGGATACTTTTGATTTCAATTGTTTGAAAGCCGCCTGAAAGAGTTGTCTAAAAGTATGCAAGGTTACATTCTAAGGCATATATATGGTGAAGGCCGAAGTAAATTATTTCGTAGCATAGTTTTAGGCACTTCTTAAAGGTTACTTCGAATCGTCCAAAATTAAAAATCGTCAGAGAATTAAAATCACCTTTTTATTTCTCACAATTAGCTGGGAATTGGTATTTATCCCAAAACAAATATCCCCGTTTTAATTTAATTAATTTAACCCCTTTTCTTTGAGTTATCCGATTGCACAGTGGTGGGTGAGGGAAATCGAGAGAGTAAGAGAAAATATGGATGTGAAAGGTATGAAATTAATGGAACCAATTCGGGACGCATCGCGTCAAGGTTAAGGTTTACAGATGGGACTTAGAAGCAATGTTAGTTAAGGAGTGGCAAAGCGAGTAGTTGGGTGCATTCGCACAGAGTTGTAATTATTTTTGTGATAAAATCCGAAGCGCAATTTTTTTCTCCAACTGTATGGAAGGTTAGAGGTCTGTACATAGGCGGGGCTAAGAGGGGTCGATCGACAGTGAGGGTAAATGGGGTCAGGCTGGATGAGAGTATGTTTATGAAGGTGCTACGAACAAAGACGTAATTGAAAATGTGATACAGTTTTTTCCTTAACCTATTTATTGAACGGTACGCAGTGCAGGGGATAAGAACGGAAGCGGAAATGGAAACGGAGACGGAGCGGGAAACGGAAATGGAAATGGAAGCGAAAATGGAAGCGGTAGGAGCTTAGCAATATGCTTTACAAGCAAACAGATTTTTATTCAACATTTTGATGGTTTTATGGGAAATACAAACGGAAAGTGTAGTGAGTTTTTCTTTCGGTTCTTTTCAACCTTCCTTCGTTAACACAGGAAAATGAGACACCACAAAAAACAACCGCAACTACAACAAAAACCACAGCAGAAAATGGCCAGAAATGTATGGGGAAATTGTAAAAAATTTACACTTTAGGAAAATCTCTAAATTTTAAGCTTTCGGTGTTTTTAAACCAAAAATAAAACTAAAAAAAAAAACTACAAAAAAAGATACACAAAAAAACTAAATTAAACAATGGCAAAAAGTAAAAAATTAAACAACAAAAAAATTAGCGAAAACACACGAAAAAATTTATATATATATATATATTTCGATATTTAAAATTTCATTCGGAAAGAAAAGCAAAGATTAAAAATTTTGAGCAAACTCTCGGTGTTTTAAAATTAAGCGCATGCAAAACCACATTACACTAAACAACTAACTAAGCCCAGAGTAAACAAAATAATAAGTTAAGCGAACAGACGTAAACCAAAAACAAAAACCTCTTTCACTTTCGTGTCTTTGACTTAAAACCAAAAATTAAAGCGACAAAAAAGCAGAAAAAAACCAACAACAAAAAATATTAAGCATATTTTTAAAATGTAATTTAGCACAAAAAAAAAAAACAATGTGAAATCGCAAAAAAAGAAAACACAATTTTTAAACTACCAACGTATTGATGTGTATTTGATAAACAAAATCAAAATTGTAATGAAATGAACAAGCCAGAAATGTAAAACCAAAAAAAATTTAAATGGAACTAATCAAATTAAACGAACGACTTGTTTTAACATCTCTCAGATTTTAAAAATCTTTCGTTTTTGGGTTTCGAAAAAGAATCTTGTGTTGATAACGATAAAGAAAGAAAACTTTTACAAAACTACGAAATGCAATGCCTGCCAAAGAATTAATGTTTTTAATGCGAAATGCAAAGGAAACGACAAACAAATATTACGTATATGAAACCAAACAACAACAACAAAAGTTCAATAAAGCCGTTCCAATAAAATGAAACCAAATGAAAACTGAGAACAAAACAAGCAACAAAAATCAAACTTGTTTGGAGATCTTTTGAGTTTCCTTATACAAGACATTTACGAGGACTAATAACTAAAGCTAACAAAAAACTACTGAAACACGAACTTTTTTTTTCACCTAAAGTTAAAAATATAAAAAATGAAATGGGATAAACAAAACTACTATTTGTCGTGTACAAGTAAACTTATTTGTATTAAACTAATAAAGCGAAATGTTTATTGGTTTATTTTTTAAACAAGACACCACCATTTTTATGCATTACATTATAAAAAGAAGCCACAAGCTAATAAAATATATAACAAAAAAGCAATGTGTTTTGTTTTTATTTTTTAATATGAGTCGATGCATAAATAATAATTAATATTCGTATGGATGGTCATTATATTTATTTTTTTAGCTTCGGCAAGCCGACGCTAAAATACCATTGCAGCCATAGGACGTTTTGTCTTTTATTTTTTCAAAACTTTTGGAAGTAATGGTCAAAGGAAGAATTATACACCCCGATGAATTCGTCATTAAATTGCCAATCGAATGGTATTCACAGATAAAATTTGTTCATATTTTCAAATTTTCGAAAAAATGATGACCCCCACCCTTATAAAAATTGCAAAAATTGGACAAAAAATTTATTTTTTCAAAAAATTGATTTATTTATCTAAATCGATTGTGGATGGGTAGTATAGGTATATACTATGTATATGTGTAATTTTGTTCAAGTTACAACGAAAGGACTCTTTCGGATTTTGTTTTTTAACAAGTCTCCAAAAACCTAAAAACCTAAAACGCTCGGAAATAATGGTCAATAGGTGCAATGTCATACACCGCTGAATTCGCAATTAAATTGCCATTCAAATGGCATTCACAGTTTACAATTTTTCAGTTAAAACTATTTTTGCCAAAAAATGATTATATACCCCCTTGTCTAAAATGCGAAAAAGTGTCATAAAATTAATTTCTTCAAAAAATTGATTTTTGCAAATCGGTTCTTATTTTTAAAGGTCGAGTTAAGTCTAAAAGCTTTTGGCGCGCCTTCCATCAGAAGCAATACCTTGCCAGATCTTTCAAGTGTGACTGAGCTTTTCCATGCACCAAGCAAAATAAGCCATTTTCCCAGTGAAATAAAAGCTTTTTCCGCCATGCCACTTAATAAATGTTAATGTGGATATTTTGGCGCACTGCCTGTGGTCACACTGCGCGCTGCGTTCCAAATTTCAGTCGCAAAAAAAAATTCGCACCGAACACAAGTTGGCCAAAGAGCTTTTTGCTACATTTTTTTCCCGTTTCAATCGCACACGAAATAGCAGTATTATTGTTGTTACCACCGTGGTGGTTGTGGTTGTTGCTTTGCATTTTTTTTACTGTGTATTACAATTGAGTGTTAAGAACCGAAAGACTTAAAAAAAAACAGTACCCTAGATAGAAAGTAGGAGAGTGTAACCAGAACAAGAGCAGTGCCAGCGTGTTAGTGTTGCACTTTGAGTTGAGTTTCCGGGATCCCGAAAGAGGTTTTTCGATCCGAATTCCAGGAAGCAGATCCAGGTCCCATCAAGCCAAGGAAATACATTCTAGAACCCCGGAGAACGCCGGCAAATGACGAGCTACGCGGATGCGCTGAGTGCCAAGGGGTATCGCAGCTTCGGATTCGACACGGACATGGAGATGGACATGGACATGGGCTGCACGATGCGGCGCATCGAAAAGCGCAAAGGCGGTAAGTTCCATGGGCGTGGGCATGGCTTCTGAAGGGGAATTTTATCAAATTTGTATTTAATTGATCCGTGAGTGGCGGAAACGGATAAAGTACTTATTTCTTCATGTTTTAATACAACACATTCTCCTAGTTTCAACTTTTCAGGAAGATAACCATCTATTCTTCTATGTAAATAAATAAATAAATGCCATAGTTAAAAAAAAATATAAGAAATTCTTAAGTTAAGTTATAATTACTTTAAGCAGGATTCAAGATGTTTTTATGATTTGAACAATTATTTAAGTTTGAAAAAATGTTGACCGTTTTAAAACTACAAATTTTATTGATTTATCAAAACCCTAAATAAATGTTACAAATGCCTCTTGCTACATATTTCTAATTTCGTTTACTGAATTTTTTTAAGAAAAATATTTAAAACTATTTAGTTGCTATCAGACCAAAGGTATTTTTTTTAATTTTAAGTACTTGAACTGAATGCTCTCTAATTGTTGTGGTTATCTCAAGAAGTCGTTTGTTCAGGTTTTTTTTGATTGTATTTTTCCTGTATTTCGAGATTTAAGTTGTGGAACTTTAAGAATATGGTATTGCATATTGGCAAAGGTAACAAATTGATTAGCAATTTATTCACTTTGCACATAAATCATTGGCTATTCCAGTGGCGTAAGCTGACCTTTTATAAAGGGGATGTTATGAGCACACTTTTAAACTTTTCACTAGTTTTTTTGAATAAACAGATTTTTAATACGCATTTTCTTAAACTGCTGACTTTTTTCTGATTATGACTAGTTGTGCTCAAAAGGAAACTCAATTTGGTTGTCTTTATTTCAATATTTTTGGTGCGTATGCAGGTTTTTTTTAAAGGTAGTTGTTATAAACAAACATTTTTGTTCTTTTTAACTTTATTCTTACACATGGATATATATTATTATATATTTTTATAAAAATACTAATAATAAAGGATGGCTACCTCTGAGACAGTTATCATGTTTTCTTTTTAAAAAAAATAAACTATTGCTTAATGGAAAGGTCATAGAAATGGGTTATGGTAAGAACATACATATGTATACACTCTTAGAGGAGGGGCTCTGACCGCAACCTCCCACCCCCTGAAGCACGCCACTGCGTGCGTGTGTGGGTGAAATATATACCAATGCAAGTGTGTGGGTGTGTGTAAGAGTGTTAGTATGTTGGATGCATTGACTTTTGCGCCTTCGTTCACTTCGTTTACTGGTCATCGCCGTGAAATATTTCCACTTCTCCAATGTTTTACTTAACTATATAGTAGTGTGTGTGTGAGCACTGTTGTAATGACGTGCAATTATTATAATCAGTCAGCGAGAAAGAGGCGAGAAAGAGGCGTGCCAGTAACTGTGCATAAATTATCTCCCTAAAGTACAATAGTTTCTCCGTTGATGGCGACGATAATGTCGATGATGATGATAATGGTGCTGATGACGGAGGTTCCTTTGATGACGAATTTTTAGGTTGCCCTTCAATTATCTCCGCTCCTCCACTTCCGCATACTATTGCATAGCAAGCTGGGATACGTATTCTATATGTATATATGGGTCCACAGATGACGTCATTCCAGCTTCGATTTTCATAATTTTTTTTTTTAGGTCAGATGTTCCTGCCAAGAAAAGATGGTAATAAATCGTAATAAATTGCAAGAGCCATTGGCTTCTTTTATATAAGTAGTAATATATTTGACACTTACTTCATTTGTATCCTAGAAAAGAGATATTTAAACCAGAAATTTGATAAATATCTTGGATTGAAAGTAGCTTTTAATACTTATATGGAACGATTTCGATTCATTAAAGTGTAAAGTAATTTTAAAGTATTTTTTAATGTCATAGATTTTGAATGGTAGTTTTTAACCACAAATTTCGTAACTTTGGTGACGGTTATCTCACCTTTTTAAACGCAAAACACTCAAAATATTTGTTTAGTTATTTATACCTTTGTGAATAGAATTTTATTGTTTTACTTGCCTTCTATTCAGTTTCATTGTCCATAATACCGCTTGGGTAATTTAACCTGATTTATTTCATATTGTCGTGACTACGCTTAAGTATTTTTCTAGTTTAATTGTGCTTATTCTTTTGTTTTCGTTTATCTTTCTTATTATTTTTATGCTCTGTGAGTACTGCTTTTTTCGCTTGCTTTCACGTGTATATTTCGCATTTTGTCGTTTTTTGTTGATGCAGCAAACAAACGCAATGGGAAAAACCAACAGCAAATACGAAGCCATTTAGGAAATTGGTTAAACATGAGGCGAGCTCATGCGAAGTCGGAGACACACATTTATATTTATGGGCCAGCCTGTATGTGGGCCAATTAGCCGCTGCTGTTTGTCCTGAGTCATCGTCAGAAGGTGGGTGCTTTCGATGATGTCTTCAGCCCAGAAACCCAGGAACGCAAGAGCCCAGAGCCCGAAACCCAACTTCATATTAATTGTGCAGTCCAACGACTTTAATCTAATCTAGTGCACGGCAGGGCGATTTTATTGTTTGTCCAGCTGAATTTATGGATGCTCCGAACACCACGTGGCTCTGCAGTGCTCAAAAAGGGGTAAAATCATCGACAGATGGATATAACTGCATAAGCAAATAACTTTAAACAAATAGCATAACCTTTAAGGCAACATTAATTTGGGAAAATAATATCATATATTATTCCTAATTGGGATATATGCATTGTGATATCTGACGTCATAAGAACAATTGATCTTGCATTAGCATAACTTTAAAGATAAGCTATTTTAATAAATACAAAAATAATATTATCAAAGAGTCTGTTGGCCAAATTGTATTTTTAATTTTGTTGTGCCAAGTTTTTTTTATTTTATTCTCATCTCTACTTTTTCACTTCTTGTTTGTGTACTTGTTGGCCTGTTATCAGTACCTCCGATAATTTTGTGTTGCTGCACAGTAAAAAATATTATTTCAAATTTTAAAAATATTAATATTCCTAATAATAATTTACAATATTATTTAAAGCTTAAAATACGTAAATAAATTCTATTTTTTCTAAATCAATTTAATTAAAACTTTGACAGACATTATCATAACAAAATGTAACCACAAATTTATACGGCTTTATTATTGCCGTGTGTGCCGCAGCACCACTGGTCTTATCGGTCTATAAATACACTCCGTGAATAACAACATCCAAATTTGAGGGCGAAGTACGTGCATTATTCACAGTTCGTGGGAATCGCACTGGGCTCTATTATCTGCCCATCTATAGTACATGGGCATATCCCATCTAATACTTATATCATCATCCACTCAATTGGGCAGTCATTCGCTCGACATGTGTCCGCCGCTTATGAGAAATGTGCTGCGTTCAATCAACTGGCGAAACTAAGGAACCAAATGGCAAAGACTCGGTTCACACATGTTGCCGAAATAATGGCACATCAAATCAAATACAATTGATGGCATACATATGGATGTAAACATTTAAACACATTTTCTTGATTCAATTAATGGCTGCTTTTGATAGTTGTAAAAATAATGCATATATGCATATACATATATACATTTATACTTGCTTGTTTTTAGTTTATTTGACTAATTGACTAATGTTAAAAGATGCCTCAGATAGAAGCTACAAAAATCACTTTGGTTTTGAAATAGTTTATAATGGCTTATAATTAATGGTCCTAATGTGTTTCCCTCCACTGTGGCTACGACAGCTGGCTTCTGTTTGTCGTAGGCATAGGTCAGGGTTTTCCAATTAGAAACAAATAATAAAAAGGCGGGCGTCAGCGAAAAGAAAACAATAGAGCATTTCCCACACGATTTCCCTCCCCATGAATATGGTTTAAGCCCCTTAAATGATTTATTTGTGGTTCCGTTCCGCTTCTCTTGGACAATTTGTTCGCTCTTTCCCTCAAAATACTCGCTCTTTTCGGTCTAGATTCTCTCTTTTATTTCCGACTGAAATCGTAAACTGACTGCAGATAGTCATGCCAAATCAACTGTTTATATTCATTGCTTATTATTACATATATATATGGCAGAATTTTCAACCGAACCGGATAAAAATGAGTGGAAAATTAGAGTCAGTTGACTGCGCGAAGTCAAAGCGAGCGGAAAGATATATTGTAAAGCCAACGGAGAGTTATTCCTTCGCCGGTTTCCTTGGGGTTACGCAAGTCAAAAGCAGAAAGTTGGCCATATTTTCATGTGAAAATCAATAGCGGATCGCGGGCACGTTGCCCAAAAACAAGAAAAGGCCAAAACGCAGCAATTAATAAGTTTGCAATTCGGTCAATAAATACAAAACAAAGAGCGGTGCCAAAAAATACAACGAAATAAAATGAAATCAGCTTAAGCACAATCGAAGAATAAATTGAAACGTACGGCAGATAAACAAACACATATGTATATATTTTTCCGTCTATAAGAATGCCCATCTTTCTATATATATGACAAAAAAGTATACATATGAGTGTTTGCATATCGCACACTTGGCAAATAAGGCAAATGAACTGACAGTGACTTGCGGGAATCGCACAAAAAATATATTACGAAGTTGAACAAACCGATTTGGCCTATGAAGCTATCAAAACAACCCAGTTATTAACGACCCAGCGCTAAATAACCATCGATACTCCTCCAGTCCAATTCTGGCCAACATCTGGGGGCTATTGATAAACTCGACTTTGCTAAATGCCCCTGACAGGGCGTTAAAAAAATTGAGACGAGCCCTCCTAATAGAGGAAAGTTACCAAAACGGGAATATAAATGGAACTAATAATTAAAGTGCCACCATATCATAGTTATCAGTTAGGAATCTTATCCAAACATCATAAAAATGAGTCATAATTTTGCTTTTTTAATGAAATGCATCATTTCTCTTCTGAGTCATCAACGTTAAACATATCCATATTTGTTACAAAATTCACAGTATGATTTTACGTTTTCGGTTAATCTTTATTTGTTTTGAACGCATATTGTGAGAATTAAGATCGTTATTGCGTTTTAAATAAGTTCCCTGTCTATTTAACAACATTTGTCTCTTAATTGGTCTTTAACTTTAGACTACTGTTAATTTCGAATACACAAAGCTAAAATTGTTATCCCTTAATTAAAAAAAAAATGAAACGTTTTATTAAAATTTATTAATAGCGCTTATAACGATTTATGTATTTCACAAAAACTAACTATAAATTGTGACTTACAAAGAAAATGTTATGTTTTATTTTAGTTTACGAGAAGCATTTATAAAAACATATGTATTATATGGATTTTGACTAGGGCTTTAATTTAAAACATATTTTTTGGATAATTATGGTTCAAAGAGCTATGACTCGGTCAATATGCAGTTTGTTTATCCAAAATATTGTTTATAATTAGCAAACATTGTGTGCTTTCCGAGCTTTACATTGTGGCGTTGAGAGCGCCGAAAGCTCGCTGCTAACTTTACCCGATATACAAACTTTGGATCTACGGATCGGGAGAGGTGTGAAATATATATAGAGAAGGAGAAGAGAGGAAACTGAGGAAACGTGGGGACAAACAAAGGCGAAAAAGACAAGCGCGTAGAAAGATGCGCGAATTGCGTCGGACGGAATTCAGACTAAATTAAGTGCAGCCGATCGCGGGCGGTGTATATAGCCCACCGATCCGAACAGACAGTTGCCCAAAGACGTTGCCCAGAGGCGGAATCGACAAAAACCGAGCGGAGACACCTGTCACTGGGAGAATTACATAAAAACAAACACACACAAAACAAAAACCAGCCGGAAAATCAAAAAATTCAACTTAGTAAACACCAAGCGAAAATTAAATAGTTTACAAATAAAGATTGCACTGGGATAACTGGATTTTGGATCACCTGATCCGCCAAGATGTCGTACCGTGGAATGCTGAGCACCTCGGACGAACCGTCCGCGGAGCTGCGAGTCCAGGATTCGGACTCCTTTGACGGAGCGATGATGTCCCATCCGAGCAATAATGCCACCGTGCAACAGCTGGGCAAGAAGGCCAGCGGAAAGAGCCTCCATCCGGCCACCTCCGTGACCGTGCCCCCAAAGAAGAGCCCCGTGCTCCAAAGGGCCACCCCCAATCGCTGCATATGTAAGTTAAGGCAACGCGAACGCCCACTGACCACCCACACCGGCCACATACAAAAATCGGCCTCTAATTTAAAGCATATTCTTGGCTAACGAGCGCTCCTTCCACTCAGAAGTTAGCAAACTCATTACACAGCAAAAAACTGATATGACATTATGATCTATTTGCGTCATTTTGGAACTTGTGTAATTATAATATCAGAATATCATTCATCTATCCAATTGATACTACATTTACATTTTGCTATAATTAATTTATATACAAAAAAAAATTAATATCAAAATAGAATGGTCTAAATATTGTTACAAAGCTCATGTTTAAATATGACTAGGCTCGTTATTCCTAAAGTTTAAATCATGTTGACAGTTTTTAGCTAATTTTTTACTTGGTTGTACCCTTTTTAAATTTTTTCGCTAAGTTCATTTGAATAAATAATACAACATCAGGTTGTTGTGACCTATTGAAACTGACATTGCCAAGTTTGGTTCCCTACACCCACTGATCAGTAATCACTCACCACCCACTACCGCCCCCCGCTAGGTCACTCTCTTTTTAAGTACTGTAGTATAGCTCTCTGTGGAGCTCCCACTCTGGGCTGCAAAAAGAAAGCAAAATACATTTGCTCTCCCACGCATACTCTCTCCTTCTCTCGTTCTCTCCTTTGAAATAAAAAACCTGTAGCACTAAGCTTCAAAAGAGCGATATGCTACACTGAAAACTATTTCTAAACTTAAAATAAATTATATTAAAAAAAATGTACGGGTGCCTTGAACTCAAAATCAAAATATAATTTTTTCGGTAATTGTATGTGTAATTTTACACATTCTATTTTATACATTTTTTTTATACATTTATATTATAAATATTTTTGCTAAAAAGTAATTTTAGTGTTGCGTTGCTTCTCTGTCGCTGCGCTGTCTATTTGACGCTTCATCTCTTAAGTCTCACTAACCTATAAAAAAAATGTAGGAAAGTTATTGTACCCTGTAGAAGTGTCGTTTGAACGCTAGAAGCTTTTTGTAAAAACAATTTTATTACCTATCATCAACAATATGAGTGTCATCATTGAGTACTAATTTTAAAATATCACTTTAGCAAGTGGTAATAAGTCTGTTTAAACTGTTTCACTTGAATTTTAATGGTTGTATTGCTCTTCTTAATGCAAAATTAATTAGCTTTAAATTTAAAACATTGAAAATAACTACATGAAGTGATTTAATTCTTTACTTGCCCCTCGGGACTCCTCTTCATCACTTAGAGATAAGTAATTATTGTGGTGTTTGACCTTGAAGTGTATTCCAACTTCGGATCGCTTCAATCAGTCTTCTCATCTTGTTTGTTGTTTGTTGAGTTCGTGTTTTGATTTAGCCCATACTATTGCTATCTCCGCTGGCGATGTTTACAGTCCCCTTTCCCTCCCCTTTTTCCGGCTTCCTACACTTAGAAAATAAAATCTTTTTTATGTTTTTTAAGAGAAAAATAAAAGATTGCATCAATAATGGGATACAAGGAAAATTAAACAATGTGTTCAAATGAATTATTTCTATCTATTTAAAATTAAATCTCGAAAATAATAATTTACTGTTACATACTTCAAGTTATACAAATTGAATCTAAAAATTCGAAATATTTAAAACCAGGATTGGAGACAATATTTCGGTGCTGTTTTTAGCGATTTTTTACCAGTGTACCGCTGCTTTTTTAACATTTTGCTGCTTGCCAATTTGTAATCGCCAATCAATTTTGTGTGGATGTTTTTCTTGTCAAAGATGATGCGCCTCTGCTGCAGTCGTCGTCGCAGTCGCTGCCTCTGCCTCTGTCGACGTCGTTAGGTCTCGGCCTGGAATTCGCCGATCTTCAATGTTTTCCCATTTCATTGAGGCGACAACTCTCGCCCAGTTTACTTCAAACACCTTAAGCAACGATCCTCACTTTTCCGGTTTTTTTCTCTGCATTTCTCGCCATGAACTTCAATCGCATGGATACCGCCCATCGGTTACGCGTTGATGTCCGCCTTTACGGGGGACCTATGGGTAACCAGCTGAACGATACAGGTCCCGCAACTGCCACGCCCACAATCTCGTCGGAAGATCTCAGTAGGTTCCATACAAAAATTCTGCTAGATATGGTATAAGAAATATAGCTGCTTTCAAAACATTTACATTTATTTGTTTAATCTGCTGTCTTAATCTTTTTTTCTAATTTTAATTCAAATGTTTTTTCTTATTTTTCAGGTGATCTCACCGATTCCCCAGTTGATGAGAAGGCTGAAGCTGATGTGGAAGTGACCAACGAGATCTCGGCACCGTATGAGGTGCCACAATTTCCCATTGAACAGATCGAAAAGAAGCTGCAAATCCAGCGTCATCTCAATGAAAAGTGAGTAAAACAAACTATGGCATTTCTTATTCTTCAGACTATAAACCAAAATTATTTTAAAATTGAATATCTCTCGAGCACAGTTATCACAAGACTATTAAACAGAAAATATAATACATTTATTTAATGTAAATTGTATGTTACCAAGAGTTACTTTCCATAAAATTTGTTTTAGGTTTTAGCAAAGGCTCGTCTGTATGGGCTTATCAGCAAAATTGCCAAGCGATCTCTGATGAAAAGTATAAAATATTTAAGCTCCATTTAAATGTAATCAGTAATTGCTAGGATTTTCAACCTGTCTAACGTGCTTAATTTAGTAGCAACTAATAGGTGCGTTTTAAAAATGTAAGTTTTGAAAAATAAAAAACAAAATGTTGGTTGAATTTTTATAAAATTAGAAACTTTCTAAGAACAGTAAGTTCTTGATTTGTAATGTGTAGAATTCAAATTTATATTTATGACAAGTTTATGGAAAAGATAACGCAGTAGGAAAATGTGTATTAAATATTTAAGTCTGCTGTCTTACGAAAGAGAAAAAAACGGAAATACTTCAATATACCCGCTTCACATCTAGAAAATACGTTATCTTATATCTAGGTATATAATTCCCTGGCTAAAGTTCTTTGTAGGCAAAAAAAAATGAATACTGAGGATCAAGAACATAAAATCATTATATTTAAGTCTACAAACAAAGAATATATTTGTCAGCCCTGTAAATCAAAAGCAATAGCAATAGAATTGCGCTTTTTTCGTATTGTTTGATTCATCTAATCAGATACGTACCTAAATCGGCTCAGCTTCGGTTATGATTTGTTTGCTTTACATGATTATCATACAAAACGAGGCGAGTTCACAGATCTCGTGATTGCTTTCTTATCAGTTTGGTCTATTTCAAGGCCAGTTCGTTTTCAAGACCTACATACCATCTCATTTCTAATTGTACAGTGGAAAAATATTTCAAATTACAAAACAATATTTCATTGTTTTTCTAAAACCGTTCTTATCTGCAATTTATGAAAATATCAAAATAAATTCTTTCCTGATTAAGAAACATCAACAACATCAACATTGTGCTAGATTCAAACAAAACAAAGTATTTTTTGACAATCTAATTTTAAGAGTTCCAAAGTTATTTATAAAAAATATTTATAATATTTAAAGCACAAAAAGAAAAATGAAGGCTGCAGAAACAATATTTTAATAAGCAAAAAAAAAATGGTTAAATAAAAAACAAATATAAATTTCGAACCCCCTGTACCTTTTGCTGTTTTCTCTGTGCTCAAATTAAACGATTTTAATTTGAACGTTATTGCGAAATAGTTTATAACTTCTTATTTAATCAGAACTTTTAATTCTTGAATAAATTGTTTTTTTTTTTTTAAATATTTAAAATATTAATTGTCAAAAGTATCCCTGCGTAGGTTTCTTCTCTGGGCAATTTCAATAGCCTCGTAATGAGGCATCCGCACGAGTTACAATTATCATTGCAACCAGGTGGGTGGTGTGCAGGTGAAGTGGGTGGCTCTTTTCCGGCTAATCCAAAGTGGGTTTATGTCTGGGTTTCGGGTTTTGGTCCGGCGAAAGTGTGGACCGATGCAGAACACGTTTTGATTTTGAATGGAACTGCATTAGGCAGCAAAGTCCGGCGGTGGCGGACTTTCGCCTAGATGGCGATGGTGGTTTTAGGTGGTGGGGCTTATGGCATAACGAGCCACCACCAAATGGAAGCGTCGGACGAACCGCTGCAACCGGCGGCACCGCCGTGGACTGAGTTCTGACACGGATACCGTCACTTTCAGTACGCTCCGATCCAATAAACGGGCAGCTCAACGTCGCGAAACGCGGCCCAAAGTTACCCACCTTCCATCTGTCACCTGGCTGTGCCTGTGCGACCTCCGCTGACATTGAGCCGTCTTTATAGGGAAAAACCGCCCGTCGAACCGCTGAACCCACTGCCCACTGCCCCACTAAAATCCACCATCGTTGTTGTTCGTGTCACACGCCAGGCGACGCTAAAAAAATATAGAAAAGAAACCAAAAAGCGGCGTTTGTGAAAACTTTCCAACTCGCGCGGACACTTTAGTTTTTTTCCCTTAAAGCGAGAATCCCGACAAGTTCTGCACGCCAAAAAGAGAGGGGGTTTTGCCTTTACCCAGAAAAAGTTCCCAAAAACTACAAAACTTAACAACTTGGGGGAGGCAGAAACTAAAAATCTAGTGCGATTTAAGTCAGAGCCACCATGGCTTTATCTGAAGTGTTGGAAATAGTTGTTTTGGTATACTTCAAGTGAATGTTTTTAAAAGTTTTGAATTAATGCCAAAAAAACAAAACACTTCAACATGAAGAATTGAATAAAACTAAGCTTAAACTTAAATTTACATTTTTTGAAGAAAAGCTTTTTTAGGAAAAATATTTCTCCCATATTTGGTTATTTTTTACCAGATCCAGGAGTCATTATTTTAATAAATAAGATCAATTTCTTTTTTTTTGTTTTTGTTACAAGGTTAGAAATAGGTACTACAAGATTTACTTAAATCAAAAGATAAAGAAATAATTTTTTGAAAAAAGAAGAAGAATTGAAGAATCTATATTACTAGAATTGTTTGAATGAAGCCGCAGAGAGTGTTTCTTAAGGTGACTTTTATTTAATTTAATATAAAAATAATATCTTGAGACGGGTCATTAGGCAACTATTAATAAAAAATAGCATTCCCCATTGTAGAAAGTATTTTTGTAAACGAAAGAACAATTAAGGTATAGTAATTTTGTTTAGAGAGTTTTCCAAGACACGCAATTTGTCGCAGTTACTGCTTTCTATCCAAATTTAAGGGTTTGGGGTTGTCAGAAGTATTCTGTTAGCGTGCCGGTCTGCAAATTAGTGGCAATCGGTAGCTTTGCATTGCCATAAATCAACTGGTCAATCGATCATTACCATCTGGGTGCCCAAAAGACAAATTCCGGAGCGAAGTAGTCCATTTGTCGGTGGTCACTGGTCAAAACAGGATGTCCTTCGCGGATGACAGCTACAGTTTTGGGCGCTGCTACGAATATCAGCCCGACGATTCCAAGTGGTTAGTCATCCAAATTACAAGTGGCATTAAAATAAATTTAGTTATTATTAGTTAATAGATCATTAGATAAAACATGATAAGCATAAAATCATTATATCAAACAATACCTTAATGGTATAATATCAAAACTGTTTAAATATGGTTTTATATTGAATTGAAATTAGCTTTATATACTAGAACACTACTTTTTAATAGTAACTTAAATTCCTCTTGTGCAAACCTTTGTTAACTTCTAATTTGTTAGTTTTTCGTACTAAAATATATACATTTCTTATTTAATACCTCGGTTTTTCAGGCAAGCTACTGGACAAACCAGGCCCGTGGTCGCAGCTGCCGCGTTGTCAACTCACAGGGAATCATCCAGCAGCAACGAGGATCGCGAAAACGCCATCGAAATGGACAGAAACGACGCGGACATCAACTTCCAGCGGGTCTCCATTTCGGGGGAGGACACAAGTGGTGTTCCTTTGGAGGATTTGGAGCGGGCCTCGACCCTCTTGATCGAAGCATTGCGCATGCGCAGCCACTACATGGCCATGTCGGATCAGTCGTTTCCCTCGACCACGGCGCGGTTTCTTAAGACGGTGAAGCTCAAGGACCGCATTAACAACCTGCCCGTCAAAGAGGTTTCTGGTGAGTAGTTTTAGTCCCTGGATCCAAAACCTTAGTCCCAGAGAAAATGCCCCGATTGTACAGTGTTGCCGTTGTCTTGTATTTCCTCTTTTGGAGTGGGTCGATTTGTGTGTTTATTTTCAGAAATTTTTATTTCTGTATTTAAAAAGAATACATTTATTTTTACTTTAATCTAAAAATTCTTTTAAAGAAATTTACATTTTAATAAAGTCGACCCAGCCCACCGTATATGTGTAAATATGTATAAAGGGACAATTTATTGCAGACGTGTCTAAGTGTTGTAATGCACCAAATCATATATTTATTGCAATTGATTCACTACCAAGTGAATTGTGTATGATACAAATTGATATTAGCGTATGTTTTGTGTAAACTGTACGCACGACAGCGTTGCCATCCTGTTTAGAGCCTAGAGTTCAGCTCGTGTGTCCGTCTATTTCGCGCCTCCACATTAGCAGCTGCCGCCTCGCTCGTGTCTCGTTTCCTTTTTATTCCAGTCCTCCGTTTTCATTTAGAGCCTTTAACGAGCTACTGTTTTATATAAAGGTTTTCCCTCTCTATTACATACTGTATGTTTGAGCCTTTGTAGCCCTTTTTTTGTTCCAATTTATTTTTTATCGACTATTTATTTCTCTTCTCGTATTTTTCATTATTTCTTATAGACATCATTCGAAAAATGAGTGTAACGAACATACAAGGTAATTCGTGCGCGCACCTGATTTCCACCTATACCTTTCCTCTCCCTCCTATCCAACTTTCCCATAACCTTTGATTCGAGTACAACAAGAAAACTCCTCCTTTCGTATTGCCTGACATTTGATTTCCGTTTCCGTTGAGCACTACTTATTCTGCGTATTGTTTGCCCTACACTCCTAACCACAAACTCTGCTTTCAACGCAGACAGTGTTGCCAACTAAATGTTATTTACTGTTTTTGGGAATAAAAAGCAAATATGTTTACTAAATAAGTTATTTTAACCAACCGAAATACTTTTAATCAAAAAAAAAGTATAACTATATCATAAACAAATCATTTAAAACCACGATGTTGGCACACTTAACTGCAGCTTTTCGCTCGCTACCAAAAACGTAATGTTGGCCACACTAAACTGTCGCTTGGCATAATGCCCCGTTGCAGCATCGACTTTTCTGTCATCCACACGCATGGGAGTTTTCTTGTGCCTTTCCTTTTGAATTTTCAAAGGGCTTTGCATTTATTGCTTATATTTGTTTATGTATTATGCTTGTTTTGCTTTTAGTTTGTTTCCTTGTTTGTATGTTCTATATTTTAGCTTACCAAAAACTACAAAAAACACGCTTTGAACTCATGTTGTAGCTGCTTAGAAGTCAGACTATCGCCGTATGTCACTGTCTGTTTCACAAAGCAAAGCCTTGTACAAAAGGAACAAACTCTACAGCTTTGATAACTCTCGTAGAATAAGTAAACCAACAAAGTTTAGTAGCGCATTAGGGTGCTATTCAGGTCTGTTAGAAATTTAGAATAACAATCTAAATCTCTTAGATTAAATACTTAAATTTATCTTCTCAAAACTTTTAATTTAATTTTCAAATAACCCAAAACTAATTTTCAAATTTATAAAACAAAAATATAAAAGTTTAAATCAGTTTATTAAATGTACTTAGAAAAGAAATGGTTTCTAAAAACCAGAGATGAGTTTACTGATTTTACAGATCCACCCTTTAGCACCTAACGAACACTCACATTTACAGAAAAAACACTCGCACAAACACCTGAGTGTAGAGTGTAGTTTTGCCACTAACTGTACCAATTAGCAATTTGTGTCGATCGCCTTTGTAACTAAACAGAATTATATTTTCAAAATATTTTCACACTCGACTCGAATCGTTTTGTATCACTTCGAACTTGTTGAGGACCTGCAGACGCCCATGCTAAGACATCGCAGTTAAAGATAACGAATCCCTGGAACGTGGAGTTTCCCAAAGATGAGGATTTCCGTATCAAGCCTCTTAATGGAGTGTTTCACATCTACCAGAACGACGTAAGTACAGCACCCCCTAATAATCCAAGATAAAATTGGTTGACAAGCAACTTAAAACAGTATTTGTTAAAGATCAAAACCCTACTCATTATCCATAATTTATTATTTTCCAGGACGAAAGCAGCGAGATTAAATTCGAATATCCGGATATGAGTCAATTCGTGAACGACATGCAGGTCATGTGCAATATGATCGCCGATGGGCCCCTGTAAGTAATTCCCCAATTTCCTCCTGCTCAGTTAAACCTATTAACAATATGTTTGTGTTTTTTAATAGGAAATCATTCTGCTATCGACGTCTGTGCTATCTGTCATCCAAGTACCAGATGCATGTGCTCCTCAATGAACTGCGGGAGTTGGCCGCCCAGAAGGCTGTGCCGCATCGCGATTTCTACAACACCCGCAAGGTGGACACCCACATCCATGCCGCCTCTTGCATGAACCAGAAGCACCTGCTGCGCTTCATCAAGAAGACGCTGAAGAACAATGCCAACGAGGTGGTGACCCACACCAACGGACAGGCGATGACCCTGGCCCAGGTGTTCCAGTCGATGAACCTGACCACCTACGACCTGACCGTCGACATGCTGGACGTGCACGCCGATCGCAACACGTTCCACCGCTTCGACAAGTTCAACTCCAAGTACAATCCCATCGGGGAGTCGCGGCTCAGGGAGGTCTTCCTCAAGACGGACAACTATTTGAACGGCAAATACTTTGCGCAGATCATAAAGGTGGGTGGCTCAAATTCTCCATAATTATTGGTGAAAAAATATTTTGTGTTTATTAAATTAAAAACAAAAATCTACCTAAGCTTTTAGGGAAATTAATTATATTTTTTAAGACAAAAATTTCACTTAAAACCATTTTGTGAGCATAAGTTAATAGCAATTTCTAATTGTGAATAGAGTAGAAAAAAATACCACTTAGTATTTTGTCAATTTTTAAAGACAAAATTTGATTTTAAATCCATTTAAACTACTGTTTTATCATAAGCTAATGCCAATTTCTAATTGAGTTTTTCTTATTAAATCCGCAGGAAGTGGCCTTCGATCTGGAAGAGTCCAAGTACCAAAACGCTGAGCTACGTCTGTCCATCTATGGAAAATCGCCTGATGAGTGGAACAAGCTGGCCAAATGGGCCATCGACAATGATGTGTACAGCTCGAATATCCGATGGCTGATCCAGATACCGCGCCTCTTCGACATCTTCAAGTCGAACAAGATGATGAAGTCATTCCAGGAGATTCTAAACAACATATTCCTGCCGCTCTTCGAGGCGACAGCCAGACCCAGCCAGCATCCAGACTTGCATCGCTTCCTGCAGTACGTGATCGGGTTCGATTCGGTGGACGACGAGTCCAAGCCGGAGAATCCGCTCTTCGACAACGATGTGCCCCGGCCGGAAGAATGGACATACGAGGAGAATCCGCCATATGCGTATTACATCTACTACATGTATGCCAACATGACGGTGCTGAACAAGTTTAGAGAGTGAGTAAATGTTTCTAAGAAAGTAAAGATCAGTACAATACCAGTTAGAAAGCACAAGACAATCTAAAGCTCTTTAGAAAGAACATTAATAATTTTAAAGAAGAACCTATAACCAGTTGGGAATTAAAACGTCTCAATATTGGTAAATTTCTTATATTGGTTTGTTCAGCTTTTTGTTTTCAAGGAAAACATATATATTGTAGCTTTATGTTATATATATGCAAAATCTAATGATATTCCTAACCGTTGTTCCTCCAGGTCCCGCGGCATGAACACCTTTGTGCTGCGGCCCCATTGCGGCGAGGCTGGACCCGTGCAGCATCTAGTGTGCGGCTTCCTGATGGCCGAGAACATCTCCCACGGCCTCCTGCTCCGCAAGGTGCCCGTTCTGCAGTATTTGTATTACCTGACCCAGATCGGAATCGCCATGTCGCCGCTGTCGAACAACTCGCTGTTCCTCAACTACCATCGTAATCCGCTGCCTGAGTATTTGGCCCGGGGCCTCATCATCTCGCTCTCCACGGACGACCCCTTGCAATTTCACTTCACCAAGGTGGGTTGACCTAATAATTGTATCGAATAAAAAACTCAAATTGGCTCTAAATGTTGCAGTGGCAATTGTGGAATTTTGTTATAGTGTATTTTTAAAAAATCTTGTTTTTGTGATATTTTCTTAAGATGGTCTAAATACTATTTACTTATTTTCAGGAACCCCTTATGGAGGAGTACAGCATTGCGGCCCAGGTGTGGAAGCTCAGCTCCTGCGACATGTGCGAATTGGCCAGGAACAGTGTGATGATGAGTGGATTCCCCCATGCCGTAAATTAATATTTTATTTGTGGTAGATAGCCCCATTAAACTTTAAAAACCCACAGATCAAGCAGCAGTGGCTGGGACCCATTTACTACGAGGACGGCATCATGGGCAACGACATCACCCGGACCAACGTGCCCGAAATCCGTGTGGCCTATCGCTATGAGACGCTGCTCGATGAGCTGTCCAACATCTTCAAGGTGAACCAGACCTGCACCCTCAACGATCCGCAGTCGTAGGCTCAGGGGCACTCTGCTCCTTCGCGTTGTTGTGGCTTCCTACGCTAACTTAATGCAAATTACACAGATATATACGCTAGTTATATATATATATATATACAATTTAAATGTTTATGTACTAACCAAAATGTAAACGCGGCAGACCAAAACCTTTAAATATACAAAACTTGTACACGCAACTCTGCATGTCCTGTGCCTAATTACTGTACTGAATAAATAGCTTATGGTGGGTATAGCTAACATCTCAAAACTTGTTTATTTATGGGTTTATACACAGACAGAAGACTGAGGCTTTATGAGGCTTATGACCTATCTTAACCTTAGTTTAGGTCCATCCTTAATTAATTGTAAAAATTGAACCAAAAAATCCTATAAAGTCCTTTTCATGTAACTTGGCCAAAACTGGACGTAAAGCCATAAAAATTACTGTTTTGTATAGCTGGCAACCTACACTACCTACCCACAATCGGTTTATAAATATAAAGTTTGTTTTGATGCAGAGAGTGATTTTCAAAAATCGATTTTTTGAAATAAAAAATTTTGACCATTATTGTAGTTTTTTTTTGGTTTTTAGATTTTTGGCTAAGTATATTTCAGTATATGATCATTGGGACAATATCTTTATTTTTATGGTCACAACTTCCGACATCTTTGAAACAAATTGGCCGCCTTAATAACTTTTAGCCATGACAAGAACCGAAACACTTAAAAACAAATGAAATATTTTCAACGCTGGCTTTTAAATAATTTGTACTACTTTTTTAAAGCCTTTGCCAAGTTGAACTCAATTTAAAAAAATGGCTTATACAAATACTAATTTCAGGGAAAGTTTCAAGTAAATAATTCGATAATTTTCTGAGGAAAGCTTTAAAGTCATTTCAGACACTTACCAAGCTTAAATACATATCCGAGACACCCACCATATTGAATCATCGATAGTTATTTGGCGCTATAAAACACTAGCCCAACGATACAACAATTAAAATCTATTACAATACTGTTTCAAGAATGCCGCGCGAAAGATGTCAACCATTTAAATTTAAAACAAAAAAAAAATTTGTAGAAAAAAAAATGTTAGCAATATCAATATTTTAATGATTTTTTATCTACTGTAAGCGGTGTCATTAACACAAGCAAATATAAATATATAATTCATTCATTATATTTATGTCATTTTACCATAAAGGTATACTTTTAAAAAGATTATGCTTAAATCCAATTCAATGATAACTAACATTTTTGTCTTCATTTGGAGCTTAAGAATAGGTTTTTTTTCAACCCAATCCTTTTGCTTTAAAATTAAATGATTTTAAATGTCGTTACACTTCAAAGAGGACCATTTTTGTGCATTTCTTGGAAAAGTTTCCGAAAGCATTCTTCACCTTGCATTCCTCACTTGTTCTGAGTGCCAAAAAGATTTGCATACACCCATTTGATCATGCAGCACGCATGATAATTCCCATTAAAAAATCGCCAGTGGATTACGTAAACATTTTGGTTTTCGGCCAGCTGTCACTGGGATCTTTCTTCTGGATTGGCATGCACACTTCTTGTGTCTTTTGTCTACGCTGCGGAATTTGAGGCGAGTCCCCGCGGGCGACACTCCCAAATGTCTTGGTCTTCGGATCCGATCCGAGTTGGACTTTGTCTCCGGCTGATGGGTGGTTAAAGGCTGGACGTCGCAAGACTAATGCCAGGCACCGTTTGATGCCAAGTTTCGGTTTGACTTGGACTTGGACAGATGTCAATTCCTCTTGCCTGGATTTACTCTCTTTCTGCTCACTGAAGAAAACCAATAAATTTATTAATGTTTCGAAGTGTTAGAATTAAAAAAATTCAAATTACAAAACAAAACAATTTTTCCAGTGTAGATGTGTGTATCTGTATCTGATGTTGCCCGTGGGTGACATTGCCCCAGTAATTTGGCGAGAGCATTTGCATTTTGACAAATTAACAATGCGCATTTACCTGTTGTGGCCGCACAATTCACACACACACACACACACACACAGCCCTACACCCACACCACCTGCGCCCCGACGGGTGATAGAAAACTTAATTGAATTCCCCTTTGGGTGCCTGCCCATTGAGCACATTCAATTGCTGACCTCAAAGAGATTCATTTGGCAGTTTGTTTGTCTTTCGCTTTTTGTGCCCCTTTTTTGGCGGAACGCTTTCTTCTCCGCCAGCCGTTACACGTTCGAATTTGGAATCACTCCGAGGCCGACCGCATTTATCGAGCGTAATGAGCACGCAGCCCCTAAGCCCAAAACCCCAAACCCCCCCTTAAGCCTCCCTCAGATCGAGCCCCATTAACACAAAATCCAAAGCGTTTCAATTGCCCGCCGGAGTCGATGTCGAAGTTTAAGTTGAAGTTGAAGTTTAAGTTTAAGTGCGATTGCGATGCAGACTGCACACGGCTTCTGGCCTTTGGCCTCTAGATTATACCCTAATCGAGTGGGTAGAGTGAAAATGGCATTATATAGACCCACCGTGCTATTTAAATGTACACTCTAGTCGAAAAGGTTAATAAGCACTAAGCTTCCTTTTGAAAATGCATAGCTTGCTTAGCTTAAAATTATTTTCTTCAAAATGTTTCTTGAATTAAAAAATTACAAAAACTGCATTCTAGCCAAAAAAAAACCTTAGCTTTACCAACAAATTCTAGTTACAATAGAAACTTTAAGCCTTGTTTTACTAACTTGAAAAAAGAGAAGTTTGTTAAGAATTTAATTAGTAACTTTGATATTTATAGCCTTAAAATAATGAATTAATTAAATAATTAAGTCTGCAAATAAAATTCATAAAAACCCGATAAAACTTTTAAATAATTACTGGAGCTAAAAATATCTGAAATATTTTTTAGCTTACTATTGATCATTGATAAAAATAGTTTAAAATTAATAAAAAAAAAAATGTAAAATATTTTGTATGGAAGCTTGAGAAGGGTATTTTGGTTGGTTCATCCTAGAGTAATCCCAAAGGCAACCAAGCATTTTGGGGTTAATGCGGCATCAATCAATGGCACGACCGCCAAACGCTGACGATTTTATCGGTTCGACGTGGCCCGTTCGCCGTCGCATCTTAACGGCTCATTTTAATTTGAGCTGTGTGCACTTGACGCCACTCGCTATTCGAAATTCGACATTCGACTTACGACTTACGACTTACGGTTTGAAAATCTACAGTTGGCAATAAGCAATTGGCAATAGGCCGCCCATGGCCATGACTGCAACTTAAGCTGCAACTGAAACTGCAACTGCAACTGCAACAGCGATTGCGATTGCGACGACATGTTGACAACCGGCGTCGATTTATATGCGCAGCTTTTCCACGCTCAGCTCACATTTACCATTTATTTTCCATTTTTATTTTCCAGGCGGCCAACGTGCCCCGCATGTCGAACGCAACAAATCCGTTGCTAAATTTGCCCGTCAATTGCGATTCGCGCTGCCAATTGAAACCGGACCGTTAACTGCCGGTTAAGCTCCTGCAGCGGATTTCAGTCACTCGAATTGGAAAACCCAGGGCGACAGAGGAGACCAATCCAAAGTTCAGGGAATAATGCATTCAATTCCAGCTTAAATAGTTCAAAATATTACCAAGTCAAAGGCTCAACTTTTCATGTTTAAATTTAAAACTTTTAAATGGTAATTATTAAATTTTAAGCTAAAAGAATTCAAATGTTTAACCATTTTCAAAGCTACAATTTTCTTAGAACTCTGGAAACATAGTTATCACTGATAAATATTATTAATTACAGTAATTTTTATTATCATTAATTTTTGTAATACAGAAACTAGAGAAATAAATAACTATTAAAAATAATACAATTTAGTTAAGTACTGGTTTTGCCACCCACAAAATAAGGAAATATACAATACACAATACACAAAATACACAATAGAGCATTGCAAATCAATACTAAAATCTTAATTATTAATTATTACTTAAATATTAATTTCTGTTACAATTGCACCGAAATATAAAATCTGGGAATAAGTCTTAAAACAACTAAATAAATAAACGTGAATAAACAAAATATATATAATAATATACAAAATCAAACAGATACAACTTTTTGTTAGATTAAAAAAAATGTATTACACTGCATCATTTAGAAACAAAATAGGCACAAAGGCAAATCACAGTTATTTCCAATTTTAGTAAAACTCTAAATGAGTAAGGAATACATATATGTTCCCAGGATATATTTGTGCTGATTTTGCATCTACTTCCGTAGCCTTATCATACCATTGACCATTAATCCCAATGGACAACCGCATCTCGTTTATTTTTGAGATCGGACTTATGCAACCCAAGATGCTTATCGCTTGGGCCTCATCTGAATTGTAAAATATCCCAACCGCCCAGAGTTTATGATCTTTTTATGTATGAGAAATATTTGGGGGCTTTGTTTTTGATTTTTTTTTTTAGGTCCGCGCCCAACTGATAACTAAACTTTCGCATTTTTTCTCGGATGCAAGTTTTTGGTGGGGCGACTGGATGATGGTGTTAACTAAGGGGCGTGGCAGATTGAATCATCAATGGCCGCGAAAGCATTTCACTTTCGCTTCTTGTCATCGCTCGTTCGTTCGGTCAATTTCTTTGGATTTCTTTACCTTGGCCCCCCGAAACAAAAACAAAAATTTCACTTTCTTTTGAGTCATCCTCGGTGGTGGACCTGCGGCATCTTTATGACTCCATTTACGTGGGTGAGGGTGACAACGATTGCAACATCGTCTGGGAGACAATGGCCCAACTCTGTTCGCGTTTCATCATCATCTTCTGGCAACAATTAATGGGCATTATTGTCGGGGCAGCAAGTTTATTTATTTGTTACAGTAGAAATTGTTAAGCAAATATTTTGCCTTGCCGCGAAAGCCCGAAAAAAAAACGGCAAACAGAAACAAAAAAAAAAAAAAAACCTGTCGAGAAATTCGAGAAAATTGTTGTGCTCTGTTGTTGTGTTTGTATTTGCACAGTTGTTGTTGTAGCCAAACCGATGTTTTCGTTTTCATTATTTTCAAGGGTCATGGTGGGGGGAGGGAGGGGGGGTAGTTAAGGGGGTATGGAAGTGGATGGGACACACTATGCGACCATGAGTCAAAAGCAGGCAACTTTCTTTCATCTGCTCCTCGATTCTGGCGAAGGCCCCTCGCTTTTTTTCAGTCACGTT